AAGTTGTAGAAGGCAGGAAACAGTTTACATAAAAAGGATATTTCAGAACAGTATTTAGATTTAGAGGCAACAGTACTGGAAGCTGGAAAACTATGAAAGCAAGGCCTTTCATTTAAGAGGAAAACAATTTTTCAACCTACAGTTCAGTATCTGGACAATCTAAGGGTAGGACAAAACTAAAGGCATCTTTCCTTGCATGGTCTCAGAATTTTATCTCACTATCTATCCTTCTTAGGAAGCTATTGGAGATGCTTTGCCAAAACAAGGGTTTATTTTAAGAAGTCATGGGATCCTGGAGCCATAGGAGCTCACAAAGGAGATGTGAGAATGAAGCAAGTCCCAGGACGACCACTGTGCCAAGTAAGTAGGCTGATGGTTCCAGAAGTATTCCTCCAGGAAACACAGTGCTTGGGGACATGGAGACCAGAACACTGCCACTAGGGGAAGGCGAGAGAATGACACGTTTTTGGCAAAGTAGGTTAGTAAATCAGATGAAGCAAGTAGAAATGCACCAAATACACATTTTGGCTGAGTGTCACTGTGTCACAAGGGTGAATCTGAGGTTTTATTTCTTAAGAAGTAGTTAGTTAGTAATGGAATAAGTTTGACATTTGAGACATAGTAAAATTGCAGCATTGTGAATTATTAGGTTAGTCTTCAGAGTATCATATTATACAGTTGCAGTAAATGCTCACCTTTAATAAGACGGACACTGCAGAAGATGTTTTCATAAAATTTAAAGGGTTTCAATGATCGTTCTATATAAGAAACTTTGACCCTTGCTTAGGAAAATTTTATGAAATGTTTTGAAACCCAGAAGGTGAAAGATCTTTTCCTTTATGTCTCTCCTTCTTGCTTGGTAATGCTACCTTTCAAAGAAATAACTTTTAAAAAATTATATTAAGATGTATCTACTCATCAATCTAAAAAATTTCTGAATCTCCAATGTCATTTCCCAAGCTATGTCTTTCAAAGAAAAGCTACTCTTCTTATAAGAGCTGGTTTTCTTGTTCTCAACCTGTGTGTGAAGGGATCATATAGTAAACACTGTTTATTTTTAAGATCTATTTAGTTATATTGGAAAGTCCGATATACAGAGAGGAGGAGAGGTAGAGAGAAAGATCTTCCGTCCGATGATTCACTCCTCATGTGGCCCCAATGGCCAGATCTACTCTGATCCGAAGCCAGGAGCCAGCAGCCTCCTCCTGGTCTCCTATGTGGGTGCAGGGTCTCAACGCTTTAGGCCATCCTAAACTGTCCTCCCAGGCCACAAACAGGGAACTGGATGGGAAGTGGGGCCACCAGGATTAGAACCAGCGCCCATATAGGATCTTGGTGCGTTCAAGGCAAGGAGTTTTAGCTGCTAGGCTACCATGTCAGGCCCAGTAGATGATGTTTTATGCCTGTTTTCTTTTGTCAATGTACTGATTCCTTTCCTTATTAGTGCTATAAAAATTTCTCTTTTGTGGATACATTGATTTATCCTTTCAACTACTGCTGGCATTTGAGTTCATTTGCATTTTTGGCTATTATTAGCAAAGCCACAAGAAATATTCTGTGACTTCTGTGACTTCTGTGAACATCTACAGGCATTCTTTTTGGGTTTACACTTTGGAGTCAAGTTGTAGTGTCATAAGGTAGTTCTATTATAATTTTACTATCACTTTCCAAAGTGATTGTTTAGGGCCAGTGTTCTGGTTTAGCAAGTTAAGCCACCATCTGCAGTGCCAGCATCACATAAAGGTGCCGATTTGAATCCCGGCTGCTGCACTTCTTCCTTCTGATGAGCCTGGAAGGGCAGCAGAAGAAAGTCCAAATGCATGAGTCCCCACACCCACACGGGAGACCCTGATGGGCTTCCAGGCTCCTGGCTTTGGCCTGGCCCAGACCCTGCCTTTGCTGCCATTTGAGGAGTGAACCAACAAATGGAGGATCTCCGTCTTTCTCTGTCTCCTTCTTTTTGTAACTTTGCCTTTCAAAAACACAAGTTAACCTTTTTATTTAAAAAAAGAGTATAATTGTTCAGTACGTGCCCACTTAGAATTTAGGTGATCTTTTTTCCCTACTTATTTGAGGCACAAAAAGAGATGGACTAAAGAAAAGAATTATGATCTGCTGGTTCATTCTCCAAATGCTCCCAACTGAACTGAAGCCAGAATCTAGGAACACATTTCACATTTGCCAAGTGGGTGGCAGGAACTCAATGTGGCCCCCTCTGCTCTGCAAGTGTAGTAACTGGAGGCAGGAGCCAGAGCAGGTACTGAGCCCTGGCATTCCAGTATGGGATGTGGGCATCTTAACTGGATAGGCCCAACATCTGCCCAGGAATTCTTTGTATACACTGTGTCTTGTATGTTGGTTATAAATATGTGTTACAAATATTTTCTGCTGTTGCATGCCTTGTCTTTTTACTTTCTTCCTGATACATTTTCATAAGCAAATTTTCATTTGGACAAGATCCAGTTTATCAGATATTTTTCTAGTATTGTCACTGCTTTAACTAATCTTTGATAATGTAAAAATTATGAACTTATGATATTATTTTCAGAAGCTTTATAGCTTTCATATTTGAATCACATTCTCAATTTTGATTACTGAAAACAGGCTATGTTAGATATCTCATTTTCTTCCAGTACTTTCTACTTTTCTTAATACTCTTTATATTCTTTACCCAGATTACATATAATCTAAACAAAATAATCAGTTATGATCTTATGATTTCTTGATTACCATCATTGTTCTTTGGAAGAAATATAACGTGCAAATTCAGATACATCCAAGTCTATTCTATTTGCTGACTTTATAAAATTGGGTACCTAATCTGTCCTGGCTTGATATTCCTAGTCTGTAGAGTGACAATAACAAGTGTTTACAGGAGGTGAGAACATGTACAAAGGGCTTATATAGTACCAAAACGCGCTGCTAACTCAATACATGTCCTTGCACCCCCATCTTTGACACAGAACTTGATTCTTTTCTGCCATCTACTTCATTTCTGATAGTGTCAAGGAACGTGTTCTCACAATGCTGGAAAATCCTAGGAGTTAGTGAGGACTCTTCCAATACAGGCTGGCTCATGGTAGCTTGAGTGCAGTGGTTATATTCCAACAAGCTGGAAAGGGAAGCTGCTTTCCCACTGTCTCTTTTACAAAGTTGAAAGTAAAATGTATCCTATCGGAAACTTACCCAGACCTAATAAAACCCTGTTTGCAGAACTAAAACGTCTGGGTAGCTTGCAGTTATACTGAACTTCAGTGTGTACGAGAAGAGACTGTTAGATATCTCATTTTAAAGCTTAATGCTAAACCTAGTCAACATCACCATTTTTATAATATCCATGTTGCTATCTTGAAATCCATAGAGAATATACTTTACTTGCACATGTTTTTAATAATCAGCTTAATTTCTTAGCAGTAATGTAAGAGGGGAATTAAGGGGAAATCATTATAATTAAATACTACACATTTCAATATGCAAATGCTCTGGTGTAATGAACTTTATGTCTGTCAGTGGCCTCACTGTATCATTGGACTCACTGTATCAGCGGCAGTTATAAGTCTGCTATAGTGACAGTCAAATGCTACGAGCCAGGCCCAGCATTGTGCCTAATGGCTTAAGTCCTTGCTTTGCATGTGCTGGGATCCCATGTGGGTGCTGGTTTCTGTGTTCCGGCTGCTCCACGTCCCTTCCAGCTCCCTGCTTGTGGCCTGGGAAAGCAGGACGCAAGGCCTTGGGACCTTGCATCTGCGTGGGAGACCTGGAAGAATCTCCTAATTCCTGACTTCAGCTCAGCTCAGCTCACTTGGGGAGAGAACCAACCGATGAAAGATCTTTCCTCTGTGTCTCTTCTCTTTATAAACCTCACCTTCCAATAAAAAACAAATAAACCCTTTTTTAAAATGCCATGAGCCCCTTGCTACTGGCAATTTGTGAAATAAATGGATCAACCAAACTGCTTATTACGATGACACTATTACTCATAGCTTAAAATATTATCAGGGTTTGATCCCTTTAAAGGCCACTGTTTGAAAACAGAAAAAAATCTGGCCCTTTACTTTCTCCCCACGCACCTTAAGACACCGCCAGCTAAAATCGAAACACTTAACAGGATTCAGATTTCTACAGCCCAGCCAGACCACTTGTTGTATAGGTAGGGCAGGTCACTTCACTGACTTAGTTCATTTATGCTATAAGTTCTCTCAGTTAAGTTATGCTGTAAGTTCCTCCTTCTGGACACCTGCCATCCTGTTTTCTACCTCTGATGACTTTCTCCGTATTCTTGCCGCTGCTCACGCCTTCCCGTCCCCGATTTTGGCCACCTACCCTACTGTGACCCCTTTGTTGGCGGACCTCAGAATTCCCACCCTCAGTCCAGTAAGCTCCAGCGCTTACAGACCCTGCTCCCTGGACCCAGCCAACTCCTCTGTTGCAGCAGCTCCCGCCTCTGCCTTCAGTGCCACGCTCGGAGGCTCGCTTCCTGGCCAGCGGTCCCCATTTCCCCCTGCATACCGCCAAGGGCCCCTCCCTTGGCCGCCCTGGCTGCCCTTCATCTTCTGCCTGGGGTGCCCACTTCGGACAACCCGGGGCCTTGCAACACGCACGTCTACAAGAGAAGGCTGCATCGGGGCCAGCACCTCCCCCGCCCCCTGCGAAGTGTGGCTAGGAAGCCAGTAAGATCTTCCCTTGCAGCCGAAACCCGCACCAGTCCGGGAGCTGTGCCCGGAGATCGCGATCCACACGTGCATGGAGCGGACGACTCGCTGCAGGGTGCAGGTGCCTGCAGAGCCAGCTGGCAAAAGAGCTAGAGAAGGGAGGGTGCGCCCAGGAGGCATACGCCTCCGGCGAGCAGAACCACGCGGCAGTGCTGGCGGTGGGACTGCAGTGCCACCTTCTCCCGAGAAAGCCCACACGCGCACACGCCCACGCACGCACGTGCCCACGGCAGGCAGGAAGAAAGAATACAAGCGAGAGAGCCTCTGGGTGCAGAGGGCGTCTTACTGATGGCTTCTGTCCTCAACAACAAAATTCACCCTCCTGGGACTTGCCCGAGTTCCACAGCCGACGCTCGTGGTGGCGCCGCCTGGAGAATGGACTGCGATCCCGAGATGCACGTGAAAATGTGCAAAAAGATCGCCCAGCTCACCAAGGTAAGGCCGGGCACTGCGGACCGGCGAGCGTGCCTGGGCTGGGGGAGCGAGTGCAGACGCGCCTCCCTAGGGAGGTTGGGGCCGAATCTCGACAAACTTTGTCAACCCTGAAAGGAAGTGGTCCGAAATCCGAGCGTCTTGACCTTCCAGAGGACCCATGCTAAAGCGGCAGAGGCGGGGGCTCCCTGCCACGGATACTCCCGCAGCCTGCCTGCTCTGGTCTCTGCTTTTCCCTAGGCAAGGATGTGATTCATGTGTGTGCGTGCCTGTGTTTGTGAGTGTGTTTGTGTGTGTGTATGCCCGCGTGTGTGTAGTTTTCCTTCACTAGCTCTGCCCTTGTGATCGTGCCTGGAATGTTGTGATTTCATTCAGCACAGGACTTCACAGCTGGGGAGGTCATGTGCGCCCTAATGAAACACTGGATTCATTTATGCCTCCACTCGACAAATGTTTGAGTCATTTGTTGAGTGCCAGCAGTTTGTGTGACAGGGTACCCAACCTGGAAGGCAGCCCAAGGGACTCACTATCCAGACGCTTGTAGGAGCATGGGTGAGGAAGAGCCCGATTCGCCCTGTAATTATAGGAGTAGGAAGGACGTTAGGAGGTCAGCCAGCCCTGTGCCCTCCCTCCTCCTAGGGCTCTGCCTACAACTGCCAGGCTGTGGCTCTCTCCTAAACTCTAGCAGGAAGATGCAGTAGTGCTCTTAGCCTCTGCAGCTAGCTAGCTGCTTGTCATGGTTCCCTCTTGTGTCTGTGTCGTGCCTGCAGAAAGGGACCATCCTCCAAGTCTTCTGTGCCTAAGGTTTCAAGTGGGGGGATTCAACCATTTCCATGGGTTTCCTATCTCACAGCCATCCTGTCAGCTGGAGGTCAGGTTCAGGTGTATGGAACATGTCTCCCTGTCACTTCTCATGCCCACTGTGTGTGTGTGTGTGTGTGTGTGTGTGTAGTAACAGGTGTTCCTGCCTCCCCTTGTCTCAACTGTTTTCCAGAAAGAATTAAACCCACAGTTTGTAATCAAACACTAATAGCTACCTTCTTGTGCCCCTCCCATGGACTCCACATTCCTTGCACATGAAGTGTCCCCAAACCATGCTCTGTTTAAGCCAGGGACTGAAAAAAGGAAATGAAGATAGCCCTTTGAGTGGACCCTTGGCATGGACGATTGGCACTATTGACCTGACTTACATTGGTCTAAGTAATAAAAATCAACCCTCCCCCCTCAAAAAACAATTAAAAGCATTTGGCACAGTACAGTAAGACATTTTGTTCTGAAAGAATCTGAAATATTTTTGGGGAAACAAGGCTTCAAACATGGAGAGAAAGTAGATGACATTACAATATCATCAATTGCTAAATTAGCTCCGTCCAATAATGCATGCTGTAGAAGCAGAAACAAATAGGCAGGAGCAGTTTGTGGAAGACATTGTGAAAGCAAAGACTCCTGAATTCACCAAGAGATTATGAAGTGTCTGCTATGTACCAGGCAAGGTGCTGAGTATCAGTAGCATAGCAATGATTAACATGTGACACTTAGCCTCAGTGTGACAAAAAATGAACAGATGATTTCATAGAAAATGGTGACCATTCCACGCATTAATATTCATAGAGCACCTATTAGGTGCCAAGCAGTGAAGATAAAGAAATGCAGAGCCAGACATTCATAGACACATGGTTGACCATGTTTCTTAAAGCATATTCTACATTAGAAATCAGGGTTGATTCTTATCATATCGTAATTCTACTTACTATTTTTTGTGTTTATTGCTGAAATTAGAAATGTTAATATTGATATGCCACCTTTCTTGGCTATTTCCATGTCACACTCCATTTTTAATTTATGAATTTTATTTGTATCCTATACTTTGGAATTTAATCTGTGTGCATTTATTGTCATTACTGATATATTTGGGGTTATCATCCCATTGTATTGTATGTTTTGCCTACTCTTCTTTCTCCTTTCTTCTTTTTGCTCTGTTCTTGTCTTCTGTTGGATTAGTCATCTGTATTTAACTGCCTCAGGCTTTCTTTCTGCCGAAGAAGGTGGCTTGCTTTGCCCATTCCCAAGCTTGTCAGTATTCCCTAGAGTTTTTACAGTGTTGGTATATAAAATAGCTTTTATATAAAACTTAATTAAATTCACTGACGCAGGTCTCTCTGATCACCTTTTTCCTAGAATGTAAAGTATTCTGTTGCATTCATTTTTCTTGTGCAAAAATGCTGTCCTATGGTATTCTTTTCTGTAAGGTTCTTAGTGAGGAAGGTAATTTGTTGTGTGTTGGAAAATGTCTATTTGGCTATGACTGTTGAATCATACTTTGGGTATAAAATTCTATGAGTAGTTACTTTCCCACAGTTCACTTTTGGGAACTCCCTCATCATGGGCTACTTGTTGTTACTGGTTGAATATTCTGCTGCCTGTTTAATTTTCATTCCTTTACAAATTACCCATCTTTGCTCTTCAATAGCATTTGAGTGTCTGCTTATTTTTGCCGTTTAACAGTTTTAACAGCAGGTCTTGGTGTTAATTTAGCTTTATCCTCTGCAAAACCAGGAGAGTGCTTTCTACTAAGGAAGACTTGTGTGTTTTCCTTAATTCTAGATAATTATCAGTGACTTTTATCTTTAGTGATGTTTCCTGACCACTGCCTCAATGCTCTTTGTTGAAACTGCCACTAGGTGAATTGGGGAATCTGTCCCTTTTATATCTTAAAATTTAAAACAAAAAAGTTTGAATGTTGGAGTTTACTGAATTTCTTGTCTTCCATTTTGTCAATCCTTCACAGGATTGTAAATTGCAGGATTTACAGGATATACAGAGAGGAAGATCTTCCATCCCATGATTCACTCCCCAAGTGACCGCAACAGCTGGTGCCGGGAGCCTCTTCCAGGTATCCCACATGGGTGCAGGGTCCCAAGGCTTTGGGCCGTCCTCTACTGCTTTCCCAGGCCACAAGCAAGGAGCTATATGGGAAGTGGAGCTGCTGAGATTAGAACCAGTATCCATATGGGATCCCAGTGCATGCAAGGCGAGGACTTTAGTAGGTAGGCCACTGCGCCAGGCCCAAGTAGTCAGTCCTTGTTGTAGCTCAGCTAAACACAACATTTAATCTACTTTTTATAAATATCTAAATATATTCATTTAAGATGGAGGAAAGGTGAGCAAGAGCTCCCATCCTCTGATTGGTTCACTTCCCAAATTCCTGCAGTGGCTCTTGGCTGGGACAGAAGCCAGCAGGCTAGAAACTCAATCCAGGAATCCCACATGGATAACAGGAACCCAGTCACTTAATTTGTCACTACTGCCTTTCAAAGTGAGCAGTCAAGGAAGCTGGAGTCAGGAGTGGAGCCGGGCATCAGAGCCAGGTACTCTGATACAGGTATCCCTGCACCTGTCCAACTCTGTTTTTGCATCCTCTAGAAAAGCTCCATCTGATTTTTCATTTTATAGCTCTCTGCACTACCTCATCCTCAGGATAGGTGGAATCGATCTTATCCAGGGATTTCCCAATGCCAACATTGAAAGAAGGATGGTCGGGCTGGTGCTGTTGGACTAATCCTTCATCCTGTGTTGCCGGCATCTCATATGGGTGCCAGTTCATGTCCCAGCTGTCCCACTTCCAATGAAACTGTCTGCTGGCCTGGGAAGGCAGCAAAGGATGGCCTAAAGCCTTGGGACTTTATACCCATGTAGGATACCCAGAGGATGCTTCTGTCTCCCAGCTTAGAATCTGCTCAGCAATCTGTTGCGGCCATTGGGGAATGAGCCAGCAGTTGGAAGACCGTTTCTCTGTCTCTTCTTTCCTCTGTGGATCTACCTTTCAAATAAAAGTGAATAAATGTTAAGAAAGACAGAAAGAGGGAGGGAGGAAGGAAGGAAGGAAGGTGTTGCCCAAATGCACCTTTTATTTAAAAGAGGAAAAGCAGTCAGAGTGAGTATTCTTCACGAACCATCTCTTGAAGTGTGGGCTTACTCTCAAGCACCAGACCATAAGTGAAGAGATGTGGACCCACGGCACCATCTCTCATCTGGAGTAGTTAGAGGAAATGGACCTAGGAGGATGCCAGCAGGCTTCTTAATGTCAGGAGCCATCAAGGAGTGAAATACCTCCCCTCCCCCCCCCGGGATCCTCTTCATCACTCTTGTTTCAGATCTGTCAGTTTGTTAAATACCTTTCAAGAGCAAAGCTGAATCAAGTGGCTACAACTTCTGCATGTTAGTAAGGTCTTATTTTACACACGCTTTGGAACCTTTTACGTATTTACCTTTTGTGTGCACAGCAGTTCTACCTGGGGTCAAGGGAGGCACCAACCATAATGCAGAAATAGAGGATCTGAGATACAGATGCAGGAAGAGTGAACATTCCTTCATGCATCAATTTCATATATAGATATGGATATATGTATGTACACACACACAGATACACACAGACACAAACACACACAGACACAGAGCTAGGATATCCAGAACCCAGAAGTCACTTCCGTATGCATTAAGACAGGTAGGACACTTAGTTCCCACATTTCACTTCCGTATCTATTAGCAAGCTGAGCAGGGACATCCAGAATACAGCATGGGAGGCTAATGTATGGGAGAAGGAAGCTGTATTTCTTTCTTGGTTCAACAGCTAAATCTTCACCTTGCAAGCACTGGGATCTCAAATGGATGCCAGTTTATGTCCAGGCTGCTTCAGTTTCTATCCAGCTCCCTGCTTGTGGCTGGCAAAGCAGTGAAGGATGGCAGAAAGCCTTGGAACCCTGTACCCATGTGGGAGATCTGGAAGAAGTTCCTGGCTCCTGGCTTCCCTCAGCTCTGTGGCCATTTGGGGAGTGAACCAGCAGATGGAAGGTCTGTCTGTCTGTTTCTCTTTCTCTCCAGAAATCTTATATGCCTTTCCAATAAAAATAAATCTGTAATAAAAAAAATATGAACAACAACTGCATCCGATGGCTTCAGCCCAAGCTGAATGCTGCCTTGCCTGCAGATCGCCCTAACATAGT